TTGCTTTGAAAAATCACCTCTCTTGAATTTTCTCTGTAAGTTGCAGTGGTTGGACTAGTGATGTCTAAAAGTCTCAGGAGCTCAGAAATCTAGGGTGTTTTTTATTCCATTTGAAATTTCAAATCACATGCAGGTATTTCCTAATGCAATTATATATTTTTTAAGTTCAATAGACCTAGCCTCCCTAGTTTCTTTTCTATAGCTCTGTTTTGCCCTCTGTGGAGGTCCAGCAGTAGGCCTTGAGCCACAGTGGCTTCAAAATTCAGATGGTGTCTGAAGACAGGGATTTAAGGCCTGGTCTAGTTCTGTTGAATGCAGCATCATCTTACCTTGCTACCAGTTGGACCCTGACTTCTGATAACTGGAACACAGTATCTTACCAACTATAATATCTGCAGCATGAGCAGCAGAAGTGGTCCCTAAAGGCTGAGAGAAGGGAGGTTAGGTGAACAACAGATCTCCAGAATGAGCTGGGCTCCTTCCTGCCTTTTCTTGGAGCCCAGGCCAAGTTTTGAACTAGTCTCCCCTTGTTTCTCTTCCCTTCAGCCTCACAGACCTCCTTAAACCTTGGCTACTTTCCCAACTCAGGTCCCTTGTTTGCTTGCTGTTCTTTTTCTGAAAGACTACCTAGTACCTCTCTATCCATGCTGCTCATTCCCTCTCCTCTTTAATTCAGATGTCATCTTCTTAGTAGCCACACTATTTAGAATTACAGTCCCTCGCCCCTTCATATGCAATCCCATTGTCCTTCCATGCTTTGCTTTTACTATTAGCATTTATCACTAACTATTTACCTTATTTATTATTTATCTTCCCTTACTAGAACTTCAGCTCCAGAAGATCAGAGAAATTGATCTTTATGTCTAGCGCCTATAACATGGTAGTTGCTGAGCAAATATTTGTTAAATGAATGGTTACAGGATCCTAGCTTGATATCACAGTCTCTCAAACAGATGACCCCCCTCGCCTCATGCTGGTACCCCCAGTTCAATACCCATCACAGACTTTGCTCATGCTGTTAGCCTGCCTCCTTGAATTTCCCCTAAAATATCTCCTTTTCAATAACTGTTGAATGAATAAACAAATGCTCCTGAATCCTTTCCCCCTGTGCTCTGCCTTCTGTTGAAAATCTCCACGCCAGCTCATCTGCATATTATATTCCTAGCGTACCCGTAGTTTCACACATGAAATCTCTTGTTGGATTTTTCTTGGTGGTCCTTAACAGTCCCTTTGGGCCTTAAGCACCCCTCCATTTGCCTTGTTTTAAATACAAGCCACACCCCTCTCCCTACACAGCCCATCATCTGCCTTGCCCTCCCCCACCCCTGCATTCTCTCTCTTTGCTCTAGCCTTTGTCATTGTCCTTCTTCACCAAATTCTCTCTCCATATGGTGTGCAGACCACAAAATGTCACAACTGAAGGAGATCTTAGGAGTCCAAGTGCTTATTTTATAGATGAAAGGAGCGAGGCCTGCAAGCATTTGGCTTGTCCAGGTTTGTACAACTAGTTAAGGCACAGCTGGTACTAAGATCCAGAGGCTCAGATTTCCAAATGGTCTGGTGCTCTTTCCACATTTCTCAAACTCTCCAGTCTTCCCTCTGTTTTGCCCTGGCCCTAGTAGCTCTCTCCTGAAAATATAATATACTCTTGTGGGCCTGACAG